CTATACCATATAAACTCCTTTTTCTAGGCCTTGAGAATAAGGTTTATCCCTGGCAAAAGTAAGAAGTCACTGCTCTTGGAAGCCTTCTCAGCCTTGACTATGGGGTGACCTGCAACAATATGTGCCACCCCAGTGTGGTTGCTTCTGTACTTCAGGCTTGATGGGCTGGGAGGGCTTGTGTCAGGTGTTCATAGAACTTTGGGTGATGATTTTTTTTTTTTCCTGGAAACGGAATCACAAGCCCAATCAAGCAGACCCATGCTCCCATCATGCTAACTTCTTTAAGACAAACAAAATATTCACTTGCAAGTGTGTATAGACTCAGTCTGGAGAGACACTGCCATCGAAACACAAGAATCCCCTTGTGATTTAGTGTCTTCTGGACTTGGGAAGTGAGCACTGTACCCTTTTAGTTCTGACCTGCCTAGATATTCTGCGAAGCCTAAGTCGGCAAGAGTGAATGGTTTCAGTGAAGAGGAGTGTATCATGAGTCAGGACTAGCTCTGGACAATTCAGTTACTGACGTCTACCAAGGACTGTTCTCCATACAGCTCAGGATGTGCTGTGCCTCTCTGCTAGACCCTCTGGACATGTACTTCTGTTCTTTGTTGTTTCACCTAAAGATTAGTTCTTCACCAAAATTTAAAACAACAACAATAAGCCTAGAAAAGGATAGTGAGGAAGGGCTACAGTCTCTCCGGATGCCTTCATTTTTGCTCTTTTTATATTTGAGACATGGTCACACTGTAGTAGGCAGATATCTATGGCTGCATGAGGGAAGTGAGGGCAGTTGGAGAATGAGGACGACTGGAACAGAGTGGCAGCCGGGGGGAGGCTACCTGGGGCCCAGAAATGAGTGTCCTAGGTCTGATCTCTGGCCTCCCTGCAGGTCTCCAGCCCCCAGACATTAGAATTTCTAGTAAGAGAAACTGTCAGAATCCAAATATTTTCACATAAGGAAGTCTTCACACACAAACCAACCTGCTTCTTCTGACAAGCATGATTAAATTTCTTACTTTGAGGTGTGCAGAAGTCTGTGCCTAGAAGCAGTCTCATTGGAACCCCATTATCGTGGAATTCCTGGGCTGGCTACAGTTAGCTGCCAGTGTGAAGATATAACTAATAAGCTCTTTGAAAGAAGGAACCATTTCACAATCTGCAAGGTATAACAATGTGCATGTAAATCCAGCCTCTGTCCTATCATCTCATTCCAGTCAGTCCTGAGGAAGTCAACCCTGGAGGAAGGACCTCACCAGAGCACTCGCCTCACTGATGGCACTGAATGAAAGCAAATGCCTTTCCTTGAAAATATACTGTAAATCCGTCAGTGCAGCTATGGCAAAGGAGTCTGCCCACAATATGGAAGGCATTGCCATTTTGGGGTTTTTTTCTCTGCAGAGTGAGTTTTAGGCCTTTGCTAGAGGGGTCTTTTTCATCTGAGCCCGGTCTCTTTGGCTGAATCTGAGCCCCAGAAACCTAGCTTCATCTAAAGGTTACATTTTCTTTCCTGTGGAAATAAAAAGCTAAATGTTCACTTTGAAGCTTACTTTATAGATGCTTGATATTCATTTCTTATTTTCCCAAATATCCTTCTGATCTTAGGTAAAGTTATTTCTCTTTGGCACATTTCCCCCATTGGGCTCCTTACTGGGTCAGTCTGTCTTATGTGACTTCATAGTCCTGAGAGAAGGTGGTATCACCCTCCTGGGTCTTCTTATTTAGCAGTCCTCAGAGATAGTGTTCCTGGCTTTTGTGAAATTCTAAAGAGCACAGTGGTTCTCTCACCTCTCACACTTTAAAAGATGCTACTAGAAAAGAAACCTTATTTTCAAAGATGCTAAGAGTAAAGTCGAATCAATGCCTCAAAAGTTCTTTCAGAGCAATGGTTCTCAACCAGAAATGATTTTGGCCCCAACCTCTAGTCATGTGGTAATCTCTAGAGACAGTTCTTATTGTCCCATTTGGAGAAAGAGGTAGTGAAGGCACTAGTGGGTAAAGATCGGCAGAGTGTTGTGCCTTCAGTGCAGAAGGTAGTCCCAACAACAAAGAGTTAATTAGTTCCAAACTTTAGTAGTGCCAGGGTTGAAAATGCTGCATTAAGGAATTCTTGCTCTTTTCCTTTTTACCCAAAGCCTGAGAAAAAAGCAAAAGGAAGGATATGTTCTGTTTTGATGAGTGCAAGTGTCCTGAGTTTCTACACCCCAGGAATCTGAGAGTATAAGTGTATCACTAAGCAGGGTGAAGAGTAAGGTCAAGGCAGGTCTTCTCAGTTCCAACAGCTGTCTTAACTCCAAGAAGAGACAACGTTCACCAAAGCAAAGGACCAAAAAGCTACAAGGATGTTTAGTTTGTGATAAAAATCATTCTGCAGATTGAAGTGTTTCCTCCTGCCCATAAAATGGTATGTTCTTTAAATAACTCAAATATAGGATGCATTGAACTTTGCTGGGAGCAGGAGCCAGGACTGCTGCTCAGAACCATGCTTGGTTAAGTCTGTCATTGTAATCATACCTACCCACACTATGTCAGCAGCATGTTATCCACATATGCTGATGAGCTACCCCAAGTTCTGAGCACCCTAATGTCAACATGGAAGGTTTCAGGGAGTGTATTCTAGAACTGTCTTCTCTATATATAGCTCTTGGTTCCATTCTCGACCTCAACTCCTTGGTGGCAGCAAGATGCCTCTTCAGCCCCCACATTGAGCATGAGTTGACTGGCTGAGTTCCTGAGCTGGAGCAGAGCCTTGTATGGTACACATGGGTTGAGGTTAAGGAAGATGTGTTGTTTCAAAATGAAAATGGGGTCAGGTAATTTAAATAGAGGGAATGGAACCCTGGAGAACACACATCCACATACACCATCCTTGCTATTAAGGCTTTGCATTCTGGGGTGGAAAATTGGACTTAGCATTGCTTTTAAATCCCTGGCTTTGCCACTTTTGTAGCTTGAGATAACCTCTTAACTGTCCCTGACTCTTTTTCATCCAAAACATGGAAGTAGTAATACAGGTGGTTATGAAAACCAAGTAAGTGTCTTGGGATATTGAAAGTACTACTGGGGGTGTTGGTGTTCAACGTCTAGAATCTAGAAGAGTCTAGACCAGCTACAACCCACCCAGCTAGCCACACCAGCCTTCGGAAGACAGTGTCTAAATATATCCCAATCCTCATTGTTGCAGGTCAGTGTGGGAAATCTTCTGAGGTCAATGATTGAGTTAATTGGCTTGCCGTGGATCTTGAAAAAGTCTCTCTGTTAAATGACATAATTGGTTTTAATTATATAATTATGGCACTTAAAGTGTGGGGGTGAAAGGTTACTATTATATTTAGAAGTGAGATCCCCAATTGAAGCAAGAGTGTTTAAGTCAGTGTTTCTTGAAATTTTCCCTCTTATTTTTTCAGAGGGAAGTCAGAATAGGCTGGCCTTGGCCCTGGCCATTTTGGGATGATTATCCTGCATGAAGTAGTGCTGGGCTGCTCAAGGCATCATAGGAACCTTTGTAAAGAGACTGAAAGGGCTTCCGTAAAGACCTCATTGTGATCTGAAGTTAATGAGCAGTGGGAACTCAACTGTCAGCAATTGAATCTGATTGGGCAGGGTAATTACATGATTGCCTCTGGTGTTTGCACATGCACGGGGATATTTTTATTGGAAAAAACCTAATTGCTTACTTACTTAGTGGAGGGAAAACCTAAACAAATTCATGTTGTCATAGGTTAAAAAGACATCCTTTCTTTGTCCAGGAAACAGCTGCCTCCTCTGCTTCTTAGAAGTGAGGGTTTTCTTTCCTTCTGTGTTCAATCAGGGATATTGTTTGCAGGACGTGAATTATATGATAATATTAAAACATAAAGGAAAACTAGTTTAAACTGTGCGTTTTGGTCAAATGACCACATGTTTACTGCCAGGTCTTAACCTATCCCCTACAATGGTCTCTTTCATAATGCAAAGGCAGCTGGAACCCTCAAGGTACTGGGACTGTCGCAGGATTTTTTGTTTGTTTTGTTTTGTTTCGCCTGTAAGATTGATTTCATAAACTATCTGGTTGTCCTTAGTTGCATAAGGCAAGTCGAAGGTATCATGTCTGTGGCACCTTTTAGACACCAGAAATTCCAAGGGCAAGAGGAGCAAAGCACCTCCCACCCCTATAATTTCTCAGGGACTTGGAAGAGAGCAAAGGGCAAAGTGAGGGCACCAAAGGAGAGAGACCTGGGCCCAGCATTGGTGATGCCGCACTGTGGTCTGGTGTCTGTCTGTTCTGACCACCTTGACTGAGCTTGACAGCTCATCCATGAAACTGGAGCATAGAAACCAAATGACTACAATTGATTTTATCCTTTAGCAGTTCAACTTTGCATTCTTGTTTTGTTTTCTATCTTCTTATTAAAAAAAAAAAAATCTGGCTTCTTTCCTTTTCCTTGTCTGAGATCCTACCAGATTAGGTCATGACTGGATGGTGGGCATTGAGGGAGCACCTTGTAATGAGTGCTATGGCCCCCAAGTTCAGTGCTCTGGTTAGTGTAGAATTTAAACTGGCAAATGGATGGCAACAAAAGGTTTCAACCTCTTAGGCCAGACATGCTTTCTTATCTCAGAATCTTGCACGTGCTAACACACCCCGATCTTATCTGGCTAACTCCTTGGGTCTTCCAGACTCAGTCCTAAAAGTCAATCCCTCTGGGGGAGCCTTTCCTGACCACCCACCCACTGGCTGCTTTTGCTTTGTGCTCCAGGGACTTTCTAGGTTCCTTTGCCCACTGTCCTTTAATCACTTGTCTTGACTAGCCCCTAAGCTCAATGAGGGCAGGGCCGCATCTAAATTTGTTGCTGTGGTGTTTCTGGAGCCTGGCATCTTGCTCGATGAGTGTGTTCAGACTGCTAAATGAGGAAAGGAATGGTTGCTGAGTGTCCTAGGGTATCATGCTGTGTGTACCTGAGCTTCCCCACCCTTGCTGTTAATACCGCTTTCTTGTTGCTTATAATTTTCATTGCCCCAGATGATCCAGCTCTGTCGGAGGCACGGAGGCACAGTCAAATCTCATGCTGTACATTGATCACCTGTCCAACCTTTGCCTAGAGTGGGAGCCCCCAGTTCCTTCAAGAGATCCAACTTTACCTGTCTGTAAAGAAGAAGAGGAGGAGGGAGACAGCAGGGAGGATCCGGTGGCAGTTTAACACCAGAGCAGGTCCGGTGTTTACTTTTACACTTTTGGAGGTGGGTAACTGAGAGTGCTGTGGGGTGCTGGGTTTTGACAGACTGCATAAAGACCATGGATTGGGGGCTCACATATACTTTATGTTTTTGATAGAACTTAGGGGTTGCAATGTTTTCTTTTTATAATTTAATTAATAGTAGTGTGTTTCCTGATCAATGTCAACATATCACTAGGACAGGAATGAGCTTCATCATCCATGTGACATATTACTGCCCCAGCCTCACGTTGTTTGTGTCTGGTTATGTGGACAGGGAGCACTGTTCTTTGAGCCCAATTTCCTGACTTATATTTATTAATCACCTTGCAGGTCCTATGTTTTTCAATGATTTTTCACTTTTGATTCTCTGTTTTTGATGTGTGATGATTCCTCCCTTTCCATCCACCTCTTTGACCTTGAGGTCTGGAGTAACTACTGAGTAAATAAGATGTCACTAAGGTCCTCCACCCCTCAGTGTTTTCACATTAGCCCTACACCATCCCGGCTAAGTCTAAGTAGCGGAATCTATGACCTCGTAGGCCTCAGGCAAGAGGATTTACTACTGGAACCCTAAAGCACCAGTCCTCTGCAAGTGCGAGCTGTCCCTTGTTGGCTGGGCTTCAGTACCAAGTTGGGGGTGAGTGGAAACACAGCCTCACATGTGGCAGCAGAGTAAATGGTCAGGGGCCCCCGAGCTCCCTACATTGTGATCTGCACCCTGCTCTTCTAGTTCTGAAGCCTGCTCTCTGCTGGTTCTCAATCTCAATTTACTTTGCATTCTTGAGTTACATTTCTGCTTGGCATAGTAAACACCTCAATGGAAATCTTTGAGGGCTCCTTCAAAAAAAGGTAGTTTGAGTCCTCTGATAGTCAGTGTGTTTACCAATTTGCTTGGAGCCACACAGAAGGACCATGGTGAGCTTTATCTCTGAATTCCAAGTTGATTTTAATTGTCAGTTTTGAAATAGTAGCAACGGATGCCTCACCTCTTCATTGGGCTTTCTAGATCAAGGCAGGTAATAACTGTACAAATAAATCACTTACTTTTACAGAGGGAAAAGTCTTCAAATGACATTTACTTTAAAATTAAACTTGGTGATGCAGTCTCTGAAGTTTTCATCTTCTCTAATCACAATGGTCTGTTTCCTTTCCCAGCACTTCGGCAGGCAGACGTTGGTTCTTTTGTTATTATCACATAGTATGGCAGAGATAGTAATTTTTTTTAAAAGATTTATTTATTTATACAGTACTGGGGTACAGGCCAGAGATGCAGAGGGTGAGAGGCCTCACCAGAGACAGAGTGGGGAGCAGAACAGGCAGATCGACAAAGTACAGTGCTGAGGAGGGCAGTGGGCGGGTCAGGAGAGGTCTGTCACGCCATGTGGATCTCCTCTGGGGCAGGCGGGCATCAAACTCACGCAGAAGTGGCTTACGCTTCTTAGTGCAGTGCTTTAACTGGCTGCGCCACCAGGGAGGGCCCATAATTTATTTAAAGAAAAAAAGAAAAACTAGAATAAATGATTGCTATTTTAGAACCAACTCAAAAACATTATTTTTTTTTATTCTGTAGCTTTGTTTAAAAAAAAAATCATATCCCTTAGTCAAATGACTTACTCAGTGAATAGCTTGAAATACACTCTCTCTAAGTGCAGTGCTTGAGTCAGAACTTGTTTCCTGATGTTACCTGAGGACTTGCTAGAAATGCTGATCCCCAGGCTCCCACCCAGGCTTGCTGAATCAGGACCTCTGCCAGTGGGCTCCAGTGAGTCTCCTGGTGATTCTGCTCCAGGACAAAGTTTGAGAACTTTTGGTTTAACACTTCTGTGAACGCATGAGGCAATTAGGAAGGAAGTGCCTGATGGCCCCACTCTTCTACTTGGGAGCTGGTGATACAATGAAGGGCACGACACACACATACATTCCTCACACAGCTAGGCAGAATAATCCACAGAAGATGTAAAATTACATCATGCACTTACTTCCTAAGTCCCTTTGGGCAGTTCCCTTTGAACTTGGAATAAATACAAATGCTTGACTAAGGCTCTGTCCCCTGTCTAACCCTCCTGGGCTCATCAGGTCTGTTCTGTCCTTCCGTTAGCATGCTGGCTCACCACTCTGGTCTTTGTCCTGACCCTCCAACATATCTGATGAACATAGTGGGCAGGAATGTAGAGGAAGGCTGAGGAAGAGAGACAATTGCACAGGTTAAATAATAGGCTTAGTCATTGAAGTATTTTTTTCTTCATTGAGAGTCATAGATTGACTCTATTGTATTTATATCATATCTGCCACATATATGACAATATATGAACTTGATGATCAATATATGTGGCCACTTGCAGCATGGTAGCCTGAAAGGACTTGACACCTCATTAAGGAATTGCTCATTGCAGTTTGTATTACTCCTAGCCCCGTGTGTTGGAATTGATTCTCTCTTAAAAGCTGGCCTGACAGGCTCAGTGCTCAGCTGCACACTGGGAATCCAAGAAACAAGGCTGGAGTCTTGAGAAGTTGGGGGTGGATGGGGCAAGTCTTCTGTAAGGCAGTGGGCTGACGCAGCACAGGAATGATTCTTGCTTCCCTACATTGTAGGAAAGATGGTGACCACATTCATTAGGTTTATCTTTGCAGAAGAGATATGTGTGAATGCCAGTTTTGATATTTAAGGTCTTAAGTATACCATGTAGTTTGGGATAAAAGCAGGTATTTTGACCTTTATTAAATGTGAAAAAGTTGTCTCTCAGGGTTGTCTTCATAAAACATTAAGTTATATGATTAAGTTAAATTATAGTTAACATAATTTGATAGAATTTGTTTTAGAGAATTGAGTTTGAGGCAATATTTTTCTTGTGGGGGGTCTTATTAATTAATTAACTGTAATAAATTACCATCATTTATATCCTTGTTAATTTTTTGGCAGTATAGGATATCTCAGATGTTCTCACACCTCTCCCTCCCCCTTTCTCTACCCTTCACCTCCTAGATGCCTCAGATCTATGGTCAACTTTTAAGGGTTGATTTTAAAGTTTGTCTTTGCCTAATCCTTAGTTTGGTTTTGCTGTATTGCACACATATATGAAACCAGCCAGTATTTATCTTTCTCCTTCTGGCTTATTTACTGAACCTATGCCTTCCCAGCTCATCCATATTTCTGCAAATGGTCTGAGTTTATCTTTTTTGATTGCTGAGTAATTTTCCACTATATACATACATTGTATCTTCTTGATCCATTCATCTGTTATGGGCACTTAGGTTGTTTACATAGCTGAGCTATTGTAAATGGGGCTGCAGTGAACATGGAAGTGCAGATTTCCTTTATAATTAGTGTGTTTGTGTTCTTTTGTTAAATACCTAGGTGTGGAATTGCTAGGTCATAATGAAAAACCTTCAAACTTGTTTTTGAATCTAGTTGCAAATTTTTCAGAATTTCTGCCTTTTGAGGAAGTACCATGCTGCAAAATGGAAAGCACACAAGATCCAAGAACAGGGACAAAGGTGTCTTTTTCTTCCCCTTGTTTTGGTTTTGACTTTCCACAGTGCTCATTTTCACAATAATACGCTCTATTATTTTGTGATAACAAGAAAAGAACTACCCCTGCCTGCGGAATTATTGGGAAAGGAAGTAGAGTACACAATTAAGGCACACTTCACTCTCGGAAAGGCTGTCTGCAGGAGAAGAAAACGCACAGAGAAACAGGCTCCCTCTGGAGCCGGCAGGGAAGACTTGTCATGGTAATGAAAACTGAGAGCTGAGGATGACCAGGTGTATATTGGGGCGTGAGGCTGTGTTGGTATATATCAGGGCAGTCTGGGACTTGTGCCTGGGGAACTCTCACCTCTGCTGACTACACTTGGGCTTTGCACAGAAGTGGTCACAGCAGGGAATCTTCTGAGCAACCACATGGGTGAAGCACCAGGATCTCTTGGTGTCCACTGACATCGGGTGCACAGCTCAGAGCTTGTCTCCTTTTTTCTTGGCTCCTCTGCCTCTTCTGGTTGTCTCTCTGAGATGCCTTCTTTTTGGGACAGCCTCTCCTGGTATCCTCCTTGAGAGCAAAGACCTCTATTATCCCCTGGAGGAGTTTGGCATGGCTTTCAGGGAGGCATTTTAAGCATCCACAGAGAATCTTTTGAAGTGCAGTCTGCAGCTCCTGAGTGTGAGGAATGGTTTTCAGCCTTCCCCTGCCCTCCCCTGCCTTCTTTACACAAGTCATTGCCACGCTTGTCCATCTGTTGTGCCCACAAGAGTTTAAGGCAGGTTCTCTGTGCCTGAACACTGACCTTGCACAGATCTGACCCTCCAAAATAGTTGACAAATGAAAAAAGAGATGTTGTAAATCCAGCTGCGCTTGGGTTGCTGAGGCTTGATTTGAGTAATTTGAAAGAAGAATTAGGCCTAATGCATTCAATCCTGCATCCACCCATCCAAAAGCAGGTCCTGACAACCCAGTGTGTAGCTGTGCAGGCAAGGCGCAGGCCCCACACAAGCAAACCTCGGTCACTGCTTACTAGAAGACCAAGAAGCTAACTCTGACTTTTGAAGCCCTTTGTGTTTCTGTCCCACTGAGCTTTGCAGAAGCTCTAACCGTTCATCCCTCTCCATCACTTAGGAGTGACAGTTCCGGCACCAGCCTCTGAGCAGGTCTGCTTCTCTTCAGAGCAGCAGAACTCCCCTGGAGTAAGGGGCTGAGGCATGAGCTCTGACCTTTTAACGTGTGTCAGGACAGCTCATGGTTGTCTATATAAAGCCTGAGTGAATGCAAAATGACAGGGAGTGCTTGAACTTCAGGGCCATCTGAGTGGCTTTTTAAAAAGTTAACAAATTAAGGAAGATAGTCATTTGGACCATGCAGGTCTCCACTGAAAAGGCCTCACCTATTTCTGAGAAGACAGGATTTCTTTGAAACAAAGGAAACGCTTCTACAAAACTTTGAGCCTAGGAACCCCAAATTCTACCCAGGTGGCAGTTTGACACACACAGGTCCCCTAAACC